CGCCTTCCTTCGGAAGGGAAGTAAAGCCGTTGATCCCCGGTTCATGAGTTTGATGGGTCGATAGGTAGGGTCCAGATTTGGTTGGGAACTGTCTCCCTGGCGTCGATAGCATTGGTACTCAGTACGGAAAACAAGATCGACGGAAAACAAATCAATGAAAAAGAAAAAAAAAGCTAAAAATGCTGAATTCTTTTACAGATTCAACTAGAGCATCCGACCTGGGAAATTCTGGGATTTTCCAGAATCAGAAAAACCCCGTGATTTGGCAAAATTCCCGGAATTTTCTGAAAATTGAGAATTTACAACCTTGAGAGTTGCAAAAACTAGGTGGAACAGCACGAAAAAAAAAGATCCTATATTGAGCGATTTATCAATATACAATGATTAAGTCAAGGCAGCATGGTTAATATTTACAGGGCGATTCGGAATAACTTTCTTTTAAAAATAACGATTGAACGCTTACATGATTTTTTGATATCAGTATATTCGAGATATACTACATACTACATACTTAATTCAACTAGAACCACATTAATTTTCCAAAGACGAGTTTTCAACTCTGGGACTGGTTAAATCTAAACGATAGATGAAGTTGATTTAAATAGAGCCTGCTCTCTATGAGTTAATGATAAGCTTGACGCACGTTTTGAAAATCGTATAAACTGGTTAATAAACGTTAACGGATAGTAAGAGAGTTTATTTTATCAAATTCATCGAAAATTTGCTATAAAATGACATTATCTCGCTCGGATGAACAATGAATTTTGCTTCTTAAAATCTTATGTTAAGAAAACTGGATAGGGTAAGCGTGCCAGTTATAGCACTAGTGCTCCAGCTTTTGGCCTAAGTGACTAACTTAATTTAGACATAAATTTTCTTTGTTGTATTTGCGTATATAGAGTCAATTAGGGAACATCTTTTGCCATAAACTGGCCTATGACTGAAATATGTCCTATTTTAAAGTCTTAATATTTTTTCTCAAGCTTCGATATTGCATAAAGGCATTATTTTTTGGAAATGCAGTAGGTTTTCAGCATCTTAAATTTTTTTACGGGGTCCCGTTATTTTTTCAAACCCGGGAAACAGAACCCTTTAGAACCAGACTAACAACCTCAACAAATTACGCTCAAATCTGTACCAATAAATCATAACATTTCATGGACGTCCGCAAAAGTTACAGAATTTTGAACTTTTTCACAGAATAACTCAGAATTTATGGGAAAAAAGAGAGTAAGTCAACATGACTCAGTCTGAGCTACTTTTGACTGGCATTTATACTTATGTCCAGTACTGTACATTGATACACACTGTGTTCAGATCACCGAGATAGCTAAAATTTTTCCGGGATTTTGAACAGCTGGAAAAGTCTGTAATCTCCAAATCAAAAATAGAATTACTGACATCAACACGGCTTTTTCAAGGGTCGCTCGACCTCGACAAATTTACTTGAATTTATAGACTATTCATTGAATGCAATGGATAATGAAAACCACTAAGAAGCTCTCTATACAGACTTTAGCAAGACATTTGACCGCATAGACATACAAATGTTAAATTGCAAAAAATTGGAATTGAGTCAGGGCTCCTAAAATAGCTTGAATCATATATAACTAACCGTAAACAAATAATTAAATTCAACGGAAAGAAACCGAGTTAAATTCAAGTCACTTCAGACATCCTCCAAGGCTCTAATTTGGGACCTCTTCTTTTTATTCTATACGTTAACGAAATTTTTTTCATTCTCAAAAAACTTAAATTGCTTATTTATGCCGACGATATGAAGCTCTTTTTGGAAATAAGTAATGAATAAGACATCAATATATTCCGGAATGAAAGACACATATTCTACATATGGTGCAAAAGAAAAAGTCTATCATTTAGCAGGAAAAGAACAACTTCAAATATTTCAATTGCACTAGGAAATCAAAATGTAGAAAAATGTGAAAGATTTAGGGATTTAGGAACTATCTTAGACTCTAAACTAACTTTCATAGACCATTACAACACAATTATTCACAGGGCAAATAACATGCTAGGCTTTATCAAGCGCTTTTGCTATAACTTTCAGAACCCATACACAAGTAAAACAGTATATATTGCCTATGTGAGGTCAATACTGGAATATTGCAGCATTGTATGGTCTTCTTTTTCAATTACGCCCATACAAAAACAATTTCTATTATACGCTCTTCGTAAATTACGTTGGACATCATTTCCTCTTCCATCATATGGAGCACGCTGCTTGCTTATAAACATACAAACATTAAAAGAGCGTCGTGAATATGCAATGGTTTCATTTGTAAACGATATCGTTTCGCAGCGCATTGACTCCACAGAACTTTTATCAAAATTAAATTTCCATGCACCTACTCGGCAACTCTGAAATCGATATTTATTTACCATAAAACATCATCGCACAAATTATGCAAAATATGGGCCATTAAAACGCATGATGGCCTCTTACAATCAATACTGCGAAACCATTGACTTTGCAATGTCTCGGCATAAACTTAAACAATATTTTTACTCCATAAGGCATTATAACTCATAAAAAAATAGGGAAGGTGACACTGCTCAATTTTTATTAAAGACAAAATAATACTTTTAACCTCTTTTCCAAAGTTGACGAAATAAATAAATAAATAAATTTAAGAAAACAAAACTGTATTAGAATATGTACTAGTCTACGTTGGTTGACGAAATAAATAAATAAACATTTCAAATAACCGTTACACGGTAGAAGTCAATAGAATCCAAAGCATGTTTTTTTCATTAAATGGGGTTAACTGAACAAAGTCTGCACAAATACGGAATAAATTTTTGGCTTTTAAAAACTTTCACTGCTTTTTTAAACTTTTACCGAACAGTTCCACAGTTAATGAATTACCAACAGGTGGAAACCTGAGTCAGTGTGTAGGGTGGCCTGGTTTATATATAATTTTATTTATTTCTATTAAATTATAACGATGAAGTTTTGATCCATTCTCAACTGTGTTAAGTATCAACAAATGTAAATGCAGGGCTGTTACAAGATTTTCTAATTTTGATCCGCAAAATTCGCGTTATCTCAAAAGAAATCTGGGGCTTAAAATACTAAACCGCGGTAAAAAAAAATACTAAAAATATCATTTGTATAACCATTACATGGCAATTCAAGCTTATTGCTTATAGCATATTAGCTTTTTGCCTGCTGTCAACTTAGTTCTCTGAAGCACTTCCACATTTTAATTCAGAGCTTTCTATGCCTGTACCATCTTATGCCCAAGGAAGTAGAGAAATTGTCCAACCCAAAAAATTCATAGACCGGACGGGAATCGAATCCAGTCGCCTCCAGCATGGATGATAATTGTCTACCACTCATTGAAGAAAGGAAACTAAGTCCGATAGCAGTGGGCGCTCCTCACTGTTTGATTTGATCAAGCTTAAGGGGAGAAATACAAGTAACACGTCAAAAACTCGACAATTTTCGGATTTTTTTTGTGAGCAAATGAAACAACGCAAACGTTTGGGGGTGTTTTGCATTAAATTAATTCTTCCTCTACATTTCAGATTTTTTTCATTGGTGTGTGACCTCTGTGGCTCCTTGGGGTCACATTGGAAGGAGGTCGCCTCCAGTGGGGATTGGTAATTGGCGGGCGCATAGAGTAAAAATATATTTCCTTTAAGATGCGCCAGGTTTCAAGTCATTTGGATGAGAGCTTTTTGAGTTATCTTTCCAGCCAATTTGGAAAACACCGTTTCGAGAAAAACGCGTTTAAAGTTTTGGGTTGTGTAAAAACATGATTTCTGGAACTTACGGTTAATCGGTGATACCGGGGCCATAGATCACTCCTTCCTCGTGCTCGTAGCATTTTTTAAAATTTGTTAAAGTAAAATATCAAAAATCGATAAAAAAAATGTTAACTTGTATTTCCCCCCTTAGTAACCTCTGATTGTCCTCAACATGTCACTGTATGAAGGGTCAAAAACGGGTTTGGTGGATCGATAGGTAAATTCACATATACGCCTCCACGGGACGGTAGAGAATCTCCTTCCAGCCACATGATCATACAATTGGTCAAAAAACGAGCCGTCCGACAGAAGGATGTCCCAATGAGTGTGGAGAAGAACCTGCCCTTTTTCCACGAGATGTTAACAGTAGGGAGTTGACAATTTTACCCTCCGCATCCAAATCGCTTCAATCCGGTGCCCTGATGGTCCCTCCCAATCCCATTGTTTTATATAGGGGAAATGGATGTAATGTCGGCCTAAATGCCCCTAATTTGGGCCCATACATAAATTCTGAAATCGTTTAAATTTTCAATAGCGACCAAAATATCTATTAGTACCGTCCCGATGGGTCCAATTTAGATCCATAGACCAACATTAGAGCCATTTCCCCTATCTAAGAACATTACGACATTAATGATTTTACATTTAATACCTCCATCAGACTACAGGGTTATAGCATTTTATAATATTTATCGACAATAAAAATGTCCTCAATATAGGCTTATAACATGTTAAAACAACTCAGTTTAGCCAGAGCTTAATGCCCTTTTCAGAAAATAGAGGTATTTGTATGTTATACGTTATAATAATTATCTACAAGAAAAACGTCATCAAGATGGCCTTGTAACATGTTATAACTCCATAGTGCAAACTTAGCATAAAAAACTGGCCAGACTGAGCAGTTATAACATGTTAAAAGCCTACCTATATTGATAGCATTTTTTGTCGATAATTATTATAACATTTTATAGCTCTGTAGTCTGAACGTGGTATAAAGAGATATATGCAGCATCTAGTACGTTTCAAATTGCCTTCTCCTCAACAAGTTACTGTCAAATAATTTTTCCCTCCTTGCTCAACATAGACTACAGGAGTGCATCAGTAACACGATAATTCCCTGAATATCGAGTATTACCTGCTAACAGTTGCCAGCCAAAAGTTCGCATGAACTTTTATTTGATTGGGCCAATAATACATAATTGACTGAAGTAATTTTAATTACTACATACCTTATAAAGTTCTCCACGGTATCAACCTGTAAGTAGAAACAAAATAAAACAAATCAATAATCTGGTGTGATTGATCACAATTAATTTTTCCTACACTGCGCGCACAATTAATACGATTATCCTACACACTGAATTCAGTTCAGTGAAGTTATTAAAAATTTACCGGGTTTTTGATCAGCTGACCAGGTCGATTAAATTTGAAATTACTGTTACACGTAAGAAATCAATTGAATCGGTTATTTTTTTAACATTAAATGGGGTTCGAAGTCTGTGCAACTTTAGATTAAATTGTCTATTTTTTTTAATTATTCATTGATTTTAAAACTTTTACTAAACAGTTCCATAGCTCAAACATTATTGAACAGCTGAGGCCTGGGTTGGTGTGTATGTATTGCAACTAGAGATATTCTTTGGTATATCATATGGGTTATCATATGAAAGTTTATCATAAGGTATGGACATTTTCCAAATTGAATGAAAAAGACGCAGTCAGGAATAAAATCACGAATTTTGTGATAACTATGCGCAACTAATGCACTAGTCCAGAGATGATTGTAAGAGTAAAGGTGATTAAGGTGGATCGTTGCAGATTATAAAAAAAATGGGCAAGGGCAAACAAACAACACCTTGGTGCTGTTGGTATTTTGGGCAAACATTTCTAAGAGATCTAGGAGTACGCTCAGAAGACGACAAGTTCCGAGCCCCAGGTCTCCAGGAAGTCGAGGAAGAAATAAGTTGATCGAAAAACATTAAAGCCGCTGGTGATGACCAACTACCAAGCGAGTTTTTCAAATAAGGTTGTGAAGCACTAGCTAGAGCGCTGCACTATAGTTTCTATATTAATAGTCTAGCGGATATAAAACCCTGTGAACTAGCATCTTTGATTTTTGCAATAAAAATCTGGCCCTCATGAAAATGCTCAAGCATTTGCAAGACACATCATGATTATTTTATTATCTTTTATCAATAGGAACGCTAAGTACTAATTGCACTTTTTAAAGCATGCTTGCAATACATGCTCCAAATTGCGATTTTATCGGTATAAATTTTTTTTTGCCGTTTATTCATTTGCTGCTTCAATGTTCCTCGCTAAAAATGCAAAAATATATTGCATTCAGGGCTGTATTGATAAACTATCATCTATAATGATTTTGTTTGATTTAATTATCACCACGATTACAATACTTCCACCACATTGTTCGATAATGAAACAATAATGCTCGATTGGCTCCCGCAAATGACAGGTCAAATTGGCTCTCGTCATTGTCTCGGTCAGGCTAGAGTCGGAGTATAATGAGTCACGCCAAGAGAAAAACAGTTGAACTCGCATCACGGTTTTTGAAAGTTTCCCTTTCTTTTAACTTGGCAACAGAGGACTTCAGCATCAACTTTAAATGACTTCTAGCGAGGAAAAAAATTTACGGCTGTAGTAAATCATTATATCAGTGATTTTGTCGAATTATCTTAAAGAAAAATAGTAGAAATTGTCATTACTGATCATTACAAAACGTATCGCATGACAAATGTAATGCTCACTGCGTGTATATGATCATTTCTTCGATTATATTTTATATTTAATTGCAATACCTTTCGTGGACCTTTCATAGCATCGTAATGCTTGTTTACTTTGCACGATAGGTAGCCGGTTTGACAGTTCAATAGGTAGACTTGGCTTCACTCTTGGCGTGACTCATTATACACCGACTCTAGGTCAGGCTATGAATATAGTGACTATACGATGCACTGGGTAATTCCCAAGATTTGGGATATTACCGGAAGGGTTGATATATCGTTTGTCCAATCTATTTAAAGGGCGATAAGCTGGATTGCTGAAACTGCTCGGGCGAATGAATGGCAGGTGGAATCTAACAGTGGTGTCATATTTTTGGACCGTTTCAGAAGGAGAACATTTGGTGAGATCATTTTATTTTTCTTATTATTACAGGTATACCTCGATATAACGTAACTGTCACTTTTGATTTTCATCGTCGATTTCCCGCAAATTATCATTCAAACAATAGCACCATCGGACAGATCAGATAATCATCCATTTATTGGCAATATTAATTTGTATTATTCGGAGGTATTTCTTCCCGTTCGTACCTCGAACGGCGTACAGAAAACAGAGAAGCACTTTAGTACCCGAAAGTATTGCTGCTATTCTACCTTCCCAGTAGAAGATGTGAATTAGCCACTCAGTCACCTTCCACTAACGTTGCTGTTCGTGAATATCACGTTATTCACGCACGGGCACACGATTCCTTAACACTGACGCGACAAATATCGATGGTAGAGGCTGGATTGAGCAATCTCTCTCGCGTGAGAATTGGCGATCCTCATTAGGATGGGTCATATGTCATATGTCGCAACTCAAGGCAAGTATGTTCGTGTCATCACCAGCTCCGCTCCTGATTCGTCCGTTGCTTCCAGCGCCTCACCGCCTCAAGAGCAACAACCGGCTGGTTCGACTGAAACGTCATACTCCGATGGCTTCAAATCCCACATCACTGATGGGACATACAGCTCTGCACCGGATCTTGCTTGCCACGTTTTGGAACATCCCAGACCAGAACGCGCTGCCTGCTGCCTCAAGGAAGCCCCTGAGCCACTCAACCCAGTCGCGCTAGCTGATTCCTGACATCGTAGTCGTTCTGGCCCTGTGGTTGAGAATGGTGAAGGGGTCTTCCAACCTTTTACATCAGGCAAGTATGCGTTTGTTGAAAACAGTTCTTCTCCTGATCCGTCTTTGTGTTCCAGAGTACCACCATGCTCGTTTCGGCTGATCGATCATTCTGCAGACCTCCAACCGACTTCGTTCGACCGCCTGTTGTTGTATTACCAGAACGTTCGTGGCCTGCGAACAAAGATTGATGATTTTTTCCTGACTGCCGTTGACTACGATGTCATAGTTCTTACGGAAACCTGGCTCGATGACCGCATTAATTCATCACAATTATTTGGCAGTCTATTCACGGTATTTCGAAACGACCACAATCACCAGAATAGTACCTAATCGCGTGTGGGAGGCGTCTTGATTGCGGTATCCAAACGCCTAAGCAGCCAATTTGCACTTCTCTAGAGCAGCTGTGGGTCAAAATAACGACACCTCGTAGATCAATAAGTATTGGCGCTATGTATCTACCTCCAGCCCGGAAATCTGATTCGAGCAGCATTGCAAACCACATCAGTTCGATTGGTACCGTGTTCTCTCGACTAGAACAAAACGACCTAGCTCTGGTATTTGGTGACTACAATCAGTCTGGGCTCTCATGGAACGTTCCTGCAAACGATCTTCCTAGCATTGATGTTCTTCGCTCGAACATGCCCGCATCCTGCTGTGCTCTCCTTGATGGTTTCAACCTGCATGGCTTAACGAAAATCAACTCGATACTGAATAGCAACTCTCGGCTGCTTGATCTCGTTCGGGCGAACGAAGCTGCAGGACTGGAATGTTCTATCCTAGAAGCCCCAGAGCCTTTGATTGACATCGACACCAATCATCCTGCGTTGGAAGTTTCCATCAACCTATCTGTTCCTGTTCGCTACGATAACCCCCTTGTTGATGTACATGAGCTCGACTTTCGTAGACCAGATTTCGTCGCGCTGAGTCGCTCGCTTGCCCAGGCAGATTGGCAGCTCCTTGACACGTGTTCATCTATTGATGAAGCCGTCAACTACTTCGCTGAGGTCGTTGGCCGGGTAATAACTGACTTTGTCCCATTGAGGAGACCCTCTCCCAAACCCGCATAATCCAATGCTCGACTACGGAATTTGAAGCGTCTGAGATCGAAGGCTCTCCGTAAATACTGTCGTACTCGTATCCCATTCACCAAACGATTATTTTCAACAGCGAGCAACGAATATCCCACATATAACCGCATTCTTTACAAGAGCTACACAAGGCGTGTGCAGGCTAATTTACGGCTTAATCCAAAGCAGTTCTGGTCATTCGTGAATACCAAACGAAACGAGGAGGGGCTCGAAATTCACCTGGGTGATAGAATCGCCAGCAGTTCCCCTGAGAAACGTAATCTTCTGGCAGAACATTTCAAAAGCATTTTCAATGACACTACGGCATCGTTGTCCCAAGTTGCTGAAGCGGTGAGGGACACTCCCAGTGATGCTTTCAATTTTTCGATTACCTCGGTTACAGTAGACCTCGTCGAATCCGCCATCAAGAAGCTGAAATTTTCTAATGCTGCTGGTCCTGAAGGGATCCCCTCAAGCATCCTGAAGCGATGCTGTTCAGAGCTTACAACACCGCTTTCGAAGCTGTTCAATATTTCATTACAGCAGGGGGAGTTCCCTACGCGTTGGAAATCGTTCCCGAATGGTCCCGATCTACAAGAAATGAGACAAGAAAAACGTCGAAAATTCGTCGAACGTCGAGGGATCACATCACTCAGTGCCTGCTCTAAAGTTTTCGAAATCATCATCAACGACGCATTATTCTCTTGCTGCAGAAATTACATTTTTCCTGACCAACAGGTTTTTATCCCAAGAGATCAGATTTCAACAAATCTAACTCCGTTCATTTCTTTATGTCTTCGGAGTATGAAAGCTGGAGCGCAGGTGGACGTTGTATATACAGATCTTAAGGCTGCATTCGACCGGGTTGACGGCTCCATACTGCTAGCTAAACTTAAAAAACTCGGTATATCCTCGGGTTTACCTCGTTGGTTCAAGTCCTATCTGACCAATCGGGAACATTGTGTTAGAATCGGATCAGAGCAATCGGACTATTTTACAAACAGCTCCGGTGTTCCTCAAGGTAGCAACTTGGGATCATTGCTATTCTCGAATTTTGTGAATGAGGCCGGACTATCCTCCCAACTGGTTGCCGATCGTTCTACGCGGATGATGTGAAGGTCTATGTGATTGTTCGTAGCTTCGCCGATTGCTTGCAGCTTCAGCACCTTATCGATACTTTCGAAGAGTGGTGCTCAACAAACTATCTCACGTTGAATGTACAAAAATGTAATAGGGTTACGGTATGTAATGTGGGTCTAGTCCTTTCATTCGGCCT